ATATATATATATATATATATATTAATGCATTTTGTTTTCTCTCTAAGTTGTTACACACATATACAACTGTTTTTTCAAATGGTGACTAAAGATCAAATTTCAATTTAAGAAATTAAAAATAAATTTACTTTAAATTTAAGAAATTGAAAACGTAAAATAGGTGAAGTTATAAGATTAAAGAATTCACCTTTATATTTTATTTTTTAATAAAATGCATAAATCAACTGTCGTCTACAACTTTAATTTCTCATCTTTTAAAAATAAAATAAAAGTCATATATTGCATGCCTGACTTTTAAATATGTTTTTATTAATTCAATACCAAAGTCGTAAATCTAAGTAAGCTAGAAGTCATACATCTTTTGGCTTTGAATTAATGCAAAAGTCCTGGATTAATTTTAACTAGAAGTGGTGAATCAAAACTTTTATATTATATTAATAAAATAGCTATAATCGTCAATGTTATATGGTTTACAGAGCCAGACATGACTGACCCATCCACGTGCCTTGTACATTCCAAAAAGTCCAAAGGGTCTATATATGCATTCGAGAAAAGAACTTAGAAGAAAAATTAAAATTAACTTTTCACAGATTAAATTAACTTAAAACACAGGTTAAAATAAAGTTTTGAAAAAACTACTACAAGAGAAATTCAACAAATATAAATAAGCTAATGTCACCTTGTAGAAAACCTTTATTTTATTTTCCTTTCATATTATTTTTTCCTATATGTATAGAAAAATTTATTTGAACATGTCATAAATCGTGTAACACAGCCAACGATTAAAAATGAGGCATGGCCAAAGAAACAAAAGTGAGATCGGAAATCAATGCAATGCATAGCCAAGTAACACAAAAATCTATGATTGGAATGAAGTACATTAAGTCTTTTCCCCCACACTTGACTGTAATCCATGCGTCAATCAAGCAGCAATTAACTGAAAGCAATTGACAATTTGCATTAGAATCCAAATTGCAAGATATGAGACTTGAATCCACGTTAGAAGTATGAAATTTTAGCGTAAAGTCTCGCATTAGAAGTATGAAATTCTAGAGTGCAATTTATAAAATCTCTGGTTCTATGATTACAACAGCTAGCTTTTGTGGTGATTATCAGATTTGCTTGGCATAACAATACAACAGGTTTAGTAATATAATTTTCTTGCTATCAAAATTCACTTTACAGGTAAGACGAGAAAGGCCAACACAAAATAACTTTCCCCACCAAACTGAGAAACTAGAATGGACATTTTTCACTACAGAACAATCATGCAAGAGGGGATTGATTAATTGGTAACAACAAAATAGCAGGAACACCAAAAGAGAATGCCTGCATATGGTTTTAACTCGCCTAATTTTAATGGTCAAATATCAGTTACAGCAGGAAAGTACCTTGCATATCCTCCACCCAGGCAAATAGTAGATCAATTTTCCAGCTTCTTACATTCAAATGCAACCAATTTCCGTGCCGTCATTCCACCAGGAACTCCAACAATAGTTTAGAGTTTCCAAAAATTTTGCCTGATAGGACTGGTTTATCATCAGTCAGGATGTGATTGTCCATGCTTGCTTGATTCAGTAGTTACCTGGCCAGTTGATATGCGCATGCTGTGGTTGCTGATAAACACTGCCACCGGTACCTACCATGTCAACTGCACCGGCCATTGTCTGGGATTGTTGCAGAAGTGGATGGACTGCACCAGCAGTCACTGCTTGCGTGGGGTGATAGATGCCAGGAAATGTGCCATGGCCAGCCTGTGTAGGGGCAAAAGTCATGTGCTGACCCTGAGGTGTAAGGTTGTAGAATGAACTACTGGAAATGTCAGGACCAGGTGCACCAAGATCCTCATTGGAGGTTAAAATCCCGGCAGTTGTTGCAGAACTTGGATTATAACCACCGGCGGGGGAGGAGCCATATGCGCCATAGGCACCTGGCACAACAAAATGAGTTGAATTAGCAGCATTTGTTCCAGGTTTGAACTGTGCAAGAGGATATTTCATCCCTGCTGCAGCCACTGCTGGAGGAGGTTGTTGAGGAAATGCAGCATTACCCAAAAACTGGTGGATTGCGGGTGGCGTCACATAAAATGGCGAAAAGTAATGACCATAAGGAACATAGTTAGGAGGGTAATGCGGTATATGAACCCCACTTGGCGGTCGAAAGATGGGGAGAGGCTGTTGTTGTTGCTGTTGAGTAACAGCTATTGGGTTTTGCATGACCCCAGCAGCTTGAGTCACAAGTGGTGTTGTACCAGCTGTAGACAAGACACCTCCCTGCAAACAAATAGAATGCACAAGTTTTTACAAAATCTTCAACATGATTTTTCCAAACTGTTATCAGAATCATACTTGAAGAAAATAATGCAATAACATTTATCCTAAAATTGGGAAGTCAGTTCATGCCAGCATCAGTACACTAGGAAAGAAACAAGCCCACAAACCCAGATAAATTCCAATAGAAACCGCACAGCCAACAGAGAAAGGAGAATGCAATTAACAAACAGAATTACAGACCATGGGCACAATGATTTCAGAAAACTACCAATAAATCATCTAGTAAATCAAAGAAGCTTTATTTTTAATGATCGTTCTAATTGACAGCAAGAGATGTCTCCGGGTTTTTTTGCCATATATTTGGGTAATGAAACTAAATAAAGATTTGATCAATTTGTATTTTAAGGACAAAATAGGAAAGTAAATGTGGAGGCCAAAAGAATTAGTATCCCCATTATCTATTATTATAGATCATGTAAAATAAGTTTTTTTATACATCAGTAAAAAAAATAAGTTTTATGATATGTTATGTAAAAATTGATTTTAAGATAAACTATTACATCTGAATTGTCTAAAATAATCAATTTTCTTTATAGCAAAGTTACAGGAAAAAAAAAAGGTATGAAATTATTTGCAATACTTGATTTTGTATTTAAATTGATCAATTGTTGGGGGGAAATGGGAAAAAAAAAGTTAGCTAAAAAAAAAATTTGAAAAAACAATACGACCTTTTTTCCTCTGTGATAAATTATAATTAATATTTTTTTTATGATAAAATTATAATATAATATAATTTCCTTCAATGTTACCAAACTGAGAGAACAATATTATAAACTAATTTTTGTGAATATAAATCAGTTATAATCTCAAAATATAAACAATCCAAACACAGTATGTATTTAGGATGGTGAGCTCGATTAATATTAGCCTTGGAAACGGTCTCCACTAAGTCTATTAACAGTTTATATACATGGATTCTATGCATAACTTAAGTACTCATTCTCTTGAACAAGAAAGCATTCTCATTCTGAGCTCTCTAAAATATTTTGTTCTCTCTCTCCCGCTCTAAAATTTGTCAGAAGTCATAATTTAAAAATGAACTTTGCATCAACAAAAAGATATGAAAGAACAGAGCAGGAGTCAGAGTTTAGAGACAACAGAGGACATAACAGAGTGGCTGGAAACTGTCATAGGATGGCCAGAAAATGCCAGAAATGATATAGAAAAAGGCGAATAGTTAAGCTTTGTCTAGACTTCAGAGATATCAGTGCACTCTAGTCAAACAAGGAAAAACAAAGGATTTTACTATGCACTAAAGGGAAAAAATCACAACATTGTCCCTAAAACACAGAAATTGACACATTGTTACAGGGGGTGTAAATCAGGTTTTTCTAACCTTATCAGAGTTGCACTGTCTATTGCATGAAAAAGGACACAATTTGGATGCTGTTGTGGCCATGACTGCAAACAAAAACTGCAACATGGCATTGCTTCTGTAGCATTCCAGTGCTGCCACTTTGCAACACAGCCACTACTGCACCACTCTAGCACACTATTGATTGTTAGAGTCCCCTTCGATTTTACTTGAATATATTTGTCAATTTGTTTCTTGAACAATAAATCTGGACTTTGGACTATTCTAGTGTGTTTTCTTATTAATCCTCCTTCTAGTTTCTAACTCACTCTCCAAACCACAAAAAGATTCTTATTGGCACCCTTATTTCGGAACTGAAAAGCTCCTTCTCAAGCTTAAGTCTTTATTATGGACACATGTACTTAACAGGATTAACACAAAAGACTTTTTGCAATCTCCGGAAACATGTTGACATTTTTTATGCATTGCTAGAACTTTTTAGCACTCATGGAGACTGGAGTACTGGGCATACATATCTTATATCTTCTTAGAATAGTGAATTAAGCCTAACTCTACCTTACAAAACCGGCTTGTAAGGTGAGAGTTGTTTTCTACTTATATACTATTCAATTGCCTAATCTCTAGTCGATGTGGGACTTGGGTTTTTCCTAATACATCCCCTCACGTCCAGTACTATTGGGCTTGGTACATGGATAAATGGTGGGTGACCCTTTTTAATGATTTAGGATTGGCTGGACTTAAGTTTTTTTTCTCAATACATCCTCTCATGCCTATGGCGCATGTATCAATGGTGGGTGGCCCATTTTTAAGAATCTAAGATAACTCTGATACCATCTTAGAATAGTGGATTAAGCCTAACTCAACCCTACAAAACCGGCTTGTAAGGTGAGGGTTGTTTTCCACTTATATACTATTCAATTGCCTAACCTCTAGTCGATGTGGGACTTGGATTTTTCCCAATATATCTATTCATTTTGAAGTTGTTTCTACCGGTGCCGCAAAGAGTTTTGGCAAAATGAGGATGAAGGTTTTTATTGAAATGTGCATTCCCATAGTTAGCTACTATTGTAAATATCATAGATATTTAGCAGATCTAGAATATCTCTAAATATTTTTAGATATTTATTTCCCTATTTATTTTTATTTTGTTTCCCTATTTCTTTATTATTGTTATTTCCATTTTTTGAAGATCCACTGATGCTGACTATGTAGAGTCAGTCATAGATAGAAGATCCACTTCTGGTTATTGCATGCTTCTTGGTGGGAATCTAGTAACATGGAGAAGCAAGAAACAAAATGTAATTACTAGATCTTGTGCAAAAGCTGAGTTTCAAGCTATGGCACATGATATATGTGAAGGATTATGGATGAAAATCACTTAAAGTTAAATATGAGAGTCCTGTAAAGTTGTTTTGTGATAACAATTTGGCTATCAACATGGCTCATAATCTAGTTCAGCATGATAGAACGAATCACAAAGATTGATAGGCAATTCATCGAAGAGAAGTTGGATGATGGCATTATAGTTACAACTCATATACCTACAAGGCTTCAAGTAGCAAATGTCTTCATAAAGGGACTTCCTAGTGCTAGATTCCAAGATCTGATTAGCAAGTTGGCAATGATTGATATTCATTTACCAACTTGAGGGGGGTGTTGTAAATATCATAGAAATTTAGAAGATCTAGAATATCTCTAACTATTTTTAGATATTTGTTTCCCTATTTCTTTATTATTTTGTTTCACTATTTCTTTATTATTGTTATTTCCTTTTTTAAGCATAGTTGTTTATAGTATAAAAAGGGGGATTATGGAATGTACAAAACACACAATTAATATACAGTTTCCTTTTCTTCAACTACAACCTTTCAGTGCATCAGGTTGGAGCAAATGCTTGCATCTTTAAACATCTCTTTACTCCGACCTTTTTCTTAATGAAATAGTTTTATTGTTATTGTATTTGGCTTATCATTGAAGTTCTGCCCATGGCTTTTCTAGAAATAAAGTTATTTTTTTTACGTGTTTTTGTTGCATTCCAAAAGCTTTTTCATATTACTTGTATCTATCTTTCAAGATTTCTTATCATACCCTAATTATACTTTCATCAGTAGTAAAATTTCGTTCTAAATATAAAAAAACCAAAAGAATAAATAATAATCCAGAACTTAAACAAGGAAAAATATCACCCACCCTTTTTTTTTTAACAAATCCAGCAGTACATAGTTAACAAAAATGAAAAAAATGGTAAAATACATTTTTGGTTCCTATAGTTTGCTTCGATTTTAGTTTTGGTCCCAATACTTTTAAGGTTTGGTTTTCAATCCCTATACTTGAAATTTGATGTTTGGCAAAAAATCTGAGAGAGATTACTCTCAGCTGGTATATTATATATATATATATATATATACACACACACACACAAAAAAGGAGCAGAACAAGTACAATTGCCAGCAAAAGCAAGGCTACAGTCTAAAGACCTTAACTCTTAAGATAGATAGGGCCAAAAACAGCTTTTATAAAGCCGCACAACATATATATAATAAACAATTATTTTAACACTCCCCCTCAAGCTTGAACATATAAGTTGTATGCACCAAGTTGGGAACATATAAACTGAATCCTAGTAGCATATAAGTTGTCCTGCAATTTTTCAAACCTGACTCCTTCAAAATATCAAGAGCATATTTTCTTTGTGAAATTACAACACCTTTCTTTGATTGAGCCACTTCGATACCAAGAAAGTATTTCAGACAGCCAAGATCTTTGGTCTGAAAATGGCTGAATAAGTGTTCTTTTAGTTGAAAAATCCTAGTAGCATCATTTCTTGTAATAACTATATCATCAACATAGACCATTAAATAAACTTCCCTATGTAATGACAATAAAAAACTGAATGATCTACCTCACATTGTTTCATTCCAAAAATCTGTACAATATGACTAAATTTACCAAATCAAGCTCAGGGTGATTGTTTCAGTCCATACAAAGACCGACACAATTTACAAACTAGACCACACTCCCCCTGAACAACAAATCCAGGAGGTTGCTTCATGTAAATCTCTTCCACAAGGTCACCATCAAGGAAGGCATTTTTAATATCAAGTTGGTGGAGAGGTCAATGACAAATAGCTGCCATAGCAAGGAAGATCCGAACTATGGTGATCTTAGCCACAAGAGAAAAAGTATCATAGTAATCAAGACCATAAATTTAAGTGTATCCTTTGGCTACCAACCGAGCTTTAAGGCGATCAACTTCACCACTCGGCCCAACTTTAACAGCATAGACCCATCTACAACCAACAGTCTACTTCCCACGAGGAAGAGGGACAAGCTCCCACGTGCCATTGTGTGCAAGAGCCTGCATTTCATCAATCATGGCTTGTCACCATCCAGGATGATCAAGTGTCTCATTGATAGTTTTAGGAACAATAGTAGATGACAAAGAAGAAACAAGAGAAGTTCGAAGGAGACAAGCGATGATAACTCAAAAAATTATAAACATGAGTAGACCGAATATCTTTTCGGATAGCAATGGGCCAATTTGAATTGGAGTCGTGAGAAGATGTGGAGGATGAAGGACCCATGGTATGGGAAGTTGTTCAAAGAGGATCTAAACCACGAGAATCTTCAGGAGGTGTGAAATTAGACTGTTGTGTTCTGTGTTAATATGTAATGAGAGGTGGTGGAACAACTTCAATTGACTCATGAATATGAAAGGCTAATTTTCATCTTGGTTGAAGTTAGAAGGAGTAGGATTCATCATCGGGTCAAAGGATGGAACGGGAAGAAACTATTGAATGGAAACAGGATTGTCCATGGAGGATGAGGAAAGGTGTGTTCTTAAAGAAGGTAACATCAACAGACATATAATAGTAGCCTTTGCAGAAAGTTTGTCTAAATCTGGAGGGACATTATGAACAAAGCAAGTACAACCAAACACCCAAGGAGAGACATGAAATAAAGGGTCATTTGGAAAAAAATTATAGAATGAGGAATTTGATCTTCAAGAGAGGCAAAGGACATTCTATTTATTAAAAATCAAGCAGTAAGGACTACATCTCCCTAATGAAGTATAGGAACATTCATATTCAACATTAGAGAGCGTGCAGTTTCAATGAGATGTTTATTCTTCCCCTCTGCTATAGTGCTATGTCATTTTGTTGTGATGTGAGGACATGTGTATTGACGTAAAATACCCTGTGAAGATAAAAAGGAAGAAAGTTCAACATATAAATATTCTTTAGCATTGTCACTTGAATATTTTAATTATCTTCTCAAATTGGTTCTTAATCTCATTAAAAAAAAAAGACATGAATATGGATAAAAGTTCAGACCTATCTTTCATTAAATAAATCCAAGTACATCAAGAGAATTCATCAATGAAGGTTACAAAATATCTAAAACTAAAAGATGTGGCACAGTTTGGTCCCCATATGTCTGAATGAATAGTAGAGAAAACCGAGTTACATCTATTGTCAGTTTGTTTAGGAAACCATGACCTAACATGTTTTCCTAATTGACACGATTCACATTTCAAAACTGGAAGTTGCTTGAGACTAGGAACCATTATCTTCAATTTTGCTAAACTTGGGTGACCCAAACGGTTATTCAAAAGCTTTGGTGTTGAAGTTGCAAAACAGGACACAGACAGGCTAGTTTCTAGGTAGTAGAGAGCTCATGATTCATGTCTTTCACCAATCAGACAACCCGTACCACATTCCTATATGACAAAGAAATTAGCATCAAATGCTACTGAACAATTTAATGAACAAGTCAATTGGCTTAGAGAGATTAAGTTATAAGGACAATGAGGAATGAACAAAACAGAATTTAATTTTAAGGAAGGAGACAAAGGAATTTGACCAATTCCCTGAGATGCAACTTTTGACCCATTGGCGACAATAACAAGATACGGAACTTTTGGAGAAGAAATGGACGAGAATAAGGAACTGTTACCAGAAAGTGGTCAAAGACACCTAAGTCAAGTATCCATGGACCATGACCTTCCACAGAATGAGAAATACATATTATTGAAACACTTGGTACAGAAGAAGATTGGACTTTGTTGTTGGAGATTTCAGATTTAAGCCTCAAATATTCTTAGTACTCCTCATCAGAAAACTTGGGATTTGATTTTTTAGATTTAGACACATGGGCTGGCGAGGAAAATCATGCAACGAGTAGCAATTTTCTTGTGTATGACCCATTCTTTTGCAATATGTACACTGAGGACATCCACTTCTGCCATCATGTCCTCCTCAATTGCTACGTCCTCCTCTTCCACGAGGTGCTACCATTGTTTAAGTTTCAATAGTTTCAATTGGGTTTTCATCTTTCACTAAGGTAGGAACACGAAGAAGTCAAATGACTAGGCTGTCCATGGAAGGAATTTGATCACCAGCCAAAATTTGGTCACGTATATGATTAAAATCTGAATGTAAACTTCTCAAATTCAAAACCATATATAGCTTATCAAGTTTTTTGTTGACACCCTCCAATGAGTCAGTCACAAGAAATCTTTTCAGTTCTTCTATTGCATCCCGAGCTTTAGTTACATGTGAAACCATATCATGGTTGGTCTATTTAAGAGAAGTTACTCTTTGGGTTGCATCAAAAAGACGTTGAATGTCATTAGCAAAAATATCTTTGGCCTCCTTCCAAAAAGAATGACATGTCTTAAATGATCTAAGTATCTATAATACATCAAGCTCAACTGATTACCATAGAACAACATGAAGCTGGAATTCAAGTTTCTGTCATTGAGATTTATTTTCAGTAGGGATAGCACTGGCTTCCTTCTCCAAATGGTCATGGTATTCTTGACCAAGGAACCACAACTCTAGCGAGGTAGACCAAGACAAATAGTTTTCCAATTCAGTTTTGCAATTGTAATGGTAGGAGTACCAGAAAAAATGGAAATCGGACCCGCGGAGGCCATTTCAATGACAAGGACAAAGGAGAAGAAGTTTGAACACCACAACCCACACCTCCAAGTAGGTCAAAACTAATAGTTGATGGCAGAAGCATGACTAGAAGGAGCCACCGAAACTATTGGAAGTGGTCCAACAAGATTCCGATAAGTAGAGGACAGCGCGTGAGATGCACGCACCAAATAGGGGCACCGAAGAAAAACGACGCGTGGAGGAACGTGCCTGGATATTAGGGTACGAGACTTCCTGGGTTAAATCACACTCCTTGAGGCGCACCTAACCTTGAATTCGGTGACTTAAGAATATAGAGTTGGATCTAACCCACTCTAATACCAACTTGAAATTTGATGTTTGGCACTAGTATATATATATATTTTTTTTTTGGATGATATGGCACTAGTATATTATATATATATATATACACACACACACAAAAAGGAGTAGAACAAGTACAATTGTCAGCAAAAGCAGGGCTACAACCTAAAGACTTTAAATCTTAAGATAAATAGGGCCAAAAACAGCTTTTATAAAGCTGCACAACATATATAATAAACAATTATTTTAACACCTACAATTTTAAAAAATTTGGTTTTGGTCACTACTACCAGTAATGTGCCAAAACACAAGTCCTGTAAGGTACAATCATTTGGACTTATTCCTAGTATACTCTAAAGGGCTGAATTTAAATAAAACAATAGGGACCAAAATCAAAACAGAATAAAAGGAAAAGGACTAAAATCTAAATATACAAAATTTAAGGACCAAAAACTAAATTTTTAAAGTATAAAGACTAAAACCAAAATGTATTTAATTTCAAAAACAAACATAAAGCATGACAGTAAACATGGCAAAGACCATTGAACGTGGTTAGATTTATATCCCTAAGTACCCTAATGGTATACATCCATACAGGTGGGTGTGGAAGAATAAAAGTGAGTGATATATATCTAGAAAGTAGAAAACGGATTTCAAAATGTGGTCAATTTTCATTCCTTCATTTGCAATCTTCACAATATCACATGCTCTCCTATGATTAACTCCACTCCTAACAAAAGAACTTAAAATTAACAATATGACAGAACTTGGATATAAATGCAGGTTCAAGACACGCATAATTAAATTCAAGAAAATTCAGTTAAGAGCCAAATATAGAGGTGTAATAATACTTTCACCATTAGATTCAAGAACCAAGCTGAAAGTGAGAGAAAGAACTCTGAATCTGAATGTTATTAGAATTCTGTCTTTGTGATACAATTACTCTCGCACACACATATATTGCGGTGATTAACAGAAAGTGACCTGGATTAATTGATCTGACATATACAGTAACCAATACAATACAATACTGCTACACTGGCAGCAGCAGTCAATTACCTGTCACAATCAGAAGCTAACAACCTAAGCAGAATCACGTGCTTCTTTAACACACCAGTATTAATTATGCAAGCAGTAAACTACTCAGACCTCCCTTGGTTTTACTTTAATTACACCTCCCTCAAACTTTACTTTTCAAAAAGTTCCCTTACCCACTGGTGCTATCTGTTCATCTGTTGGTTTTCACAATAAAGATGATTGTGTGCAGTAAGGGAAAAAAAATCAAGGTAAGATACAGTAGTTTCCCCTATGTTTAAATATCATTAACCTATTAGAGTAAACAACTTTTCTTCTTAATATTAGAGAGCACACAGCATTGTACTTTAACAATACATACCTCATGAACAGACTGAGAATTTGGTGCAGGCAGCACTGCAGCATTGCCATTGTACTTAGTTGTAACCTCAGTAGAGGGAAAAGAGGATAGATGACCATCACTGTCAGCACCAGACCGATGAATGTGGGCATAATAACTAGTTGGATCAATAGGTTGATGAACCTATGACAATCAAATTTAACCTTTTAAGCCACAAAAATGAAAGGTAAACTAAATAAACAGAAGTAGATAAAAATAGGTCAGAGGGCTCACAACAAAGCTTGGAAGTTGAGAAATATCATGAGCTTGAGAGTCAGATTTATCAAATTGTGCAGACTGTGTTCCCGACATTGGGGGCATAAAACTTGAACTGTATTTTTGAGAAGTATGCACCAGAGAGCACTGATTATCTCCAGATGGCAAAGTAGCATCTTGCTTGGACTCATTATACTCCTGAATAGCAGGAGATGACACTACAACCTCACCAGATGATAAATTCTCAGGCATAGTAGTGGGTGATTGTGGATGGTCAGTATAATCTTCCACAACAGTTGTAACTGGAGCATTGTGACTGCTGAAGAATGAAGATATAATTTGTCAGAGGGACAAAATGGAAAATTACTGGAAACTAACATATTAGGCAATGCAAACACAAAAGATAAGATATATGTTTCAGTAGTTACGACTTACGAGTACAGAAGAATAAAATACAGAAGAAAATAATTGAAAAGTGTGATGGAGCTAGTTGGGTCTGGAAAACAGCATTATAGCACACATATCAAATGAAAGGAGTTGAAAATTTATTTAGGCTAGTAAGTAAGAACACTCATCATCCAGAGTATTAGATTTAGGTAATTGTGTGTCAAATGTTAGCCACAAACTTGTGTATTTATATTGACAACAGTAACTGTACGATGATATCCCTAATTAATGCTAATTGTAATTAAATCAATACAAAAATAATAACGTGCTAAAAACTAATATTGTCATGCACTGCATGTTAACACAGCATAGTTTCACTCATCAAAAGTTTGAAATTTAAAGCCTAAAAGAATGACTAATTATATTACTTATGTCATAAAACTCTCACATAACCAACTGAGCAAGTCTTCAATTTTTGTGCATCAAAAGTTCTGTTCTGCCCATTAATATCCTTTCACGAATGTACTTCTATATTTATATTTATATTCATTTTTAAGTTTTACTAAACAAGTATTCACCAAACTACATTCACAAACTACAGTTTCAAAAGAATACAACCTTGGGGCCGACTCCTCTGCAGTTTCTTCAACATCCTGTGATACTTCAGAAGGTGGCATAGAACTCTTTTCATTCTCTGGGCCACTATCATAACTTGTATTACCCCTATAAGTGAACCCCAAACTCCCAAAGCTAAACTTATTCTTCTCAGAATCAGGCACCAAGATATGGTTTGGAAGTTTAACATGTTGACGTGGTGAAAGATGTAAATCCTCCATCTTCCTCTGTAGTATAGAAGCAGCTTCTCCAGAGTCAACGACCTTAGACACAGATTGTAACTGCCCAGTTGTTTCAGCAGAAGATTCAGATAAACTAGCTGATCCAGAACCCCCGCTAATTGTACTTGTGGACTTTGGTTTCCACTCCTTATTAAAACCAGCTGTTGTAAACAGAAACTACTTATAAATCTTGACAAGCCAACCCATGACCATAAATGGTTATAGCAGCAAGAAAAATGAGTGCAGTCACACTTAGAATCATCGTATTCAAGCAAATCACACACCTATCAACATCTAAAAATTAAACATACTGATTGAAGCAGTTAAAGGCACATAAATACAGTCAATTTATCTGGGTTGCAACAAATCTCTATAATCATTTGTTAAGCATCATGACAAACACTAATAAGGCAAAGGAGAATTTTCATGTAAATGCAATCATGAAATTAACATCATAATAAAACTGCATTCACAAAAATGAAAAATATCAACGTCATTTTGACTAGAAAGCTGATAACTCTAAACAAGATAAGCCTTAACTTGGTATTTACAACAGAAAAAATAAAAAAAATAAAAAAAAAAATACAGTGGGGAAAAAATATGCTTCATATAGAAGCTAATTTCATGTTCTAAAGATTTTTATATATGTGAGGTTGCGTGTGAAAGCTTGTGGACAACTACAGCAGCTTTACTCCTATTGATTCAAATCATGCTTTCTTTCTTCCCAAAATTCTCCTTTTTTCCTATTAGTTTCTCTCAGTCTTTCTTTTCATATATTGGTTCAACATCACCACTCCAATTTTCAGGTCAACTTAAAAAACAGTAAAGCATGTTTGGATTCTCATCCACGCACCTCTAATGTGGATCAGAGAAGCAACTATTAGTTGCTTTTTTGGTGTTTTTGACATAAAAAATTGATAAAACATGGATCACCAATGAGAATCCAAACATGCACTAAATGGGTATTAGAGTATAGAACTTTACTCGGAAGTTTACTGTATTTTCACTTGTAAAAGTGACTGTTGTTGCTGTTAGTGGTTAGTTGTCTGTTAGTTAGTTTGTTATCTTGCTGACAGGTGTCCTGTATTCCTTCTGCTGTACTCTAGAGTAGCTTCCTTCTACTCTTTAGCAACTATATAAATAGTTGCATCTCCTTTGTATCTTCAGGAAAATATCAATATATTTCACATTCTGTTATGGTTTCCAGAGCAAGGCTCAATCCATGGACCTTTCTCTCTGTTTTTCCTCCTCCTTTCCCTCCACCACATTCTGCTGAAATGAATTCCTCAAAAGCAATAACCTTTTTGACAGTTTCAGAAAAATTAGACTCGAATAACTACTTGCTAAGGTGTCAACAGGTAGAATCGGTGATCAAGGGACATCCTTTGTAACGATCTCTCATTAATCCACAGATTCTGCAGAAATTCAATCCGTTAACAATCACAATGAAGATCGTGTAACCAAAGAGAATTTTGCGTGGGAGCAACAAGATCAACTTCTCTTGTCTTGGCTCCAATCATCTATGTCGAAGGAGATGCTTACCAAAGTCATAGGATGCAAATTGTCCTTGCAGCTATGGGACAAAATCTATATGTATTCACACAAAATGCAAAAGCAAGGCAGTTTCAATCTAAGCTTCAAAATGTGCTGTTAGAGAATCGCACTATTTCCAACTATCTTCTCCACATACAAGAGCTCATTGATACACTAACAACAATCGGAGACACTTTCAATCAAAGAACACCTCAATGCTATCATCAAATTCCAAAGGAATACAAATCCTCCGTTTCTCTTATCAGCAGCAAAATTGAACCATTATCTGTCAATGAAGTCAAAACTATACTTCTCACTGACAAAGATATCGATAAAGAGTCACAAAAAAGAAATATCATGGAAAATCTTCATTGCTAGTCAACATCATTGAAAAACACAGCTTCTAAATCTGGTTCATCAAGAGACAAATTAGCAACTTTATGTAAGGAGAGATGAGAACAAATCCCTAGTTTTTGTTTTTATCAAGATTTTTTTTTGTGACTCCTTCCTCCTTGTTTTTATTTTTATCGAGATTTTTTCTTTTTTTTAAAAAATCTCAAATCCACATGTCAAAAAGTTGGGCCACACACATTGGAGAGTTGGGCAGCGGACCACGTCCATAGCGCACTTGTAAAGTGTCCGCTCCAGAATAGTGTCGAACTTTTGAACACAACAATCCCACACTATGTCCTTGCATCATAGTTAATAGGAAATGGTCAAGATCTTCCTTTTCAATCTGCAGGTATTACCTCCTTTACATCTCTTGTTAATTCTCAAATTCCTCTTATTCTAAAGTTAACCGTTTGTGCCTCAAATTACCAAAAATCTTATGAGTGAGTCAATTTTCTAAGGATAATCATGTTTATTTTGAATTTCACCCAACTTTTTGTGTGGGGAATTTACAGGCCACTAATGAAGTCATACTCAGAGGAGCTGTTAGTACAGATGGTTTGGCATTCTAGGCTTGGTTGGCCTTGTATACATGTTCAAAATATTGTCTACAAACATTGTAATCTTCCTCAAATAAATAATACTACTGAATTCTGTTCATCTTGTCTTGGGAAAGCAGAGACTTCATCTATGTTATCTTCAACTGTTTATAATCAGCCATTAGAATTGATATAATCAAACCTTTGAGGTCCTGCTCCTTTACTTCTATAGGAGGATACACCTACTCTACGATATAGCTTTTGCTGATGCGTACCAGATTTACTTGGCTATATTTCTCAAAACAAAATCTTAAACAATACATATTTTAAAACAATTTCAAATTCTTGTTGAAAAACAGTTTCAAACTCCTATAAAAGTTGTTCAAACTGATTGGGGGTGGGGAGTACAAACCTTTTTTCCAATAATCTAGCTGCAAATGGAATTCAACATAGGATTAAATGTCAACACACACATCATCAAAATGGTGTTGTTGAAAGAAAATATAGGCATGTTGTTGAACTTGGCCTTACTCTATAAGCTCAAGCATCCCTTCCTCTCAAATTTTGGGATCATACTTTTGCTATAAGTGTCTATCTTATCAACAGACTTCTCACATCATCCTTACAGTTTGAAATACCTTATCATAAACTCTTTGGTCACCTCCCTGATTACAAATGGCTTTTTGACCTCAGTAAATTAAAAAAAATTAAAAATACATGAAATAAATTATAAAAAAAAAACTAATTACTGAAATAGGTAGTTTTGGACAAGTCAGCATATACGTGGCACTGAAAACGCCTGGGGGTGGGCGTTTTTTAGAAAAAGCCTCCCCCCCAGGCGCCTTCTATTGCTGATGTGGCACGGGCAGATTTGAACTGAAAACGCCTCCCCCCCAGGCGTTTTGTTGACGTGTCAGATTTGAACTGAAAACGCCTCCCCCCCAGGCGCCTTCTATTTTCAGAAAGAGCCTCCCCCCTAGGCGCTTTCTATATATGGCAAATTTGAAAAGAAAGAATCTGTGGGGTAAGCGTTTTCAAAGCCACCTCTCCCTGAGAAACATTGTGTTTGATTAAGTTGTTTTTTTATTTTTAAAATCATTTCATAAAATAACTAATATTTTAGTTTACATATCACAAAGAGTAAATGTTTATTATATTTAAATTTTATAATAAATTATACATATAAATAAATATTATATTTGAATATATAATTTATATTTAAAATTTATATAAATAGATATTTTTAAATGTATAAAGTATATTTTAGATTTGAGATAAATAATTTATATTGTAGCACAATATTATTTTTAATTATTTTGACTTTGTTTAAAAAATAAAATTTAACTTATAAATAAATATGATAAATAAAATTAAAATATAATTATTTATTAATTAAATATTAATATTTTAAATTAAATTATCAATAAATAGTGTTATAATAAAATGATTTATCATAAATTAAAATATAATTTATATATTTAAAAATATTTATGTATACTAATTTTAAATATAATTTATATTATCAAATATAGTATTTTGTAATTTCTTGGTTGAACTTTAAAGAAGATAAAACTTGATTAACAAGTGTATGTGAATTTTGACAGTTTAAATCTGAATTAGAGCATTATTGTTGAACCTCATTATGTTGTAATCAAGTGAGCATATTGCATTCATATTTTCATAACAAGTCTTTAGAAAAGCTTCATTTGAAAATTCAGTCTTAGAAAAGTTTAAAAGTGAAATAAAGATCCTAAATACTCTGATAATTTTTAAAAGGTCATAGAATCCAATTCACCCCCCTCTTGGATTGTGCCATTCTTTTCTAACAGTATTTATTTATATATAATTTCTTATAAAATTTTAACTATATATAACAAATATTTAGCATATATATTGCACAGATTAAAATATTAGATAAAAAATTATAGGAATTTCTAAAAAAAAATATTATTAAAATAAAATCTCTAAAAATATTTTCATACAAAATAACCGATTTTATTTTATATGTAAGGATGAATTTTTGAAAACTAATTTTTAGATAAGAAGGGTGAGGACATAATATGAGACAAACCAATAGAGAATATGAGTATCAGAAAATTGAAAAGCAAAAAAATGATATTTTAAATTTTTTTAAAGAGATACAAGTAGTTGTGATTTGCTTATATTCAAGACATTTTTTTTTACTTATAATAGAAAATAAAAGGAGTAAATCTTTATTTTTAAAAGCAAGAAAACATGTCCTAATTTTGAGAAAATATTATTTAAAAACAAAAAATTAAAAAATAATAATTCACCATTGTTTTAAGTACTAATTCATTTAGTGAAATAAATTCAAATAAAATTTATGCGCATTAAATTCCAAACTCGGTATGTAACTTTTAAATTAACTAAAATCACATCTTTCTATAATAGACTCAAAATAATTTTTAACATTTAATAAGTCTAGTCTGAGTGGTGTATGACTCAATTCTCTAAATTTAGAATTCAGGTTTTGTGTAAAAAAAATATATTACTGAGAGAAAAGACTCAATTATTTTGTATTAACAACATAGTTACTAAAAAAGTTAACTTGTATTTTAACATTTTTTTTTACAACTACTTTGAATGTGTTTTTTACAACTATTCTCATACGTGATGTGTATAAGATAAATCTTCATTTTATATAACTAAAATATCAGTAAATAAATATTTTGTATTAT